GGATCCGGTGCATCCCTCGAAGCCCGGGAAGGCTCCAGGAAGTCGCCCCTTTGCCTCCCTAGGGCTGGCTTTTGCTGTCTCTCCCCGTGTGGTGAGGAGCAATGGTCCTCAAGCCCAGCCCTGAGAGTCCTGCAAGGGAATCCCAGAAACGAAGGCTGATCTTGGGGCCCCCACCACAGCCCCAAAGCCAGTGATTTCAATGAACCCCAATACAAGCGTCAAGCATGCGGGCTGCACCAGTGGGACCTAGTGTCGGAGTGTGCTTGTGGGAGCGAGGCCCGGCTCTGCCCAGGCTGGTGGAACACTCAGCCCCTCCTTTCCTGTCCCAATGCTCAGCCTCAGAGCAGCACGTCACCACAGAAGAAAGCAAGCCCAGATCTGCTGCGTATAAGAGGACAAAGCAAGACGCCTTTTCTGTTTTCTGTTCCTTTCTTTTAGTCATTGTAACACAGTAGCTAAGTGATGGCATCACCTTACTCCACCAGTGGATGAATACATAAAGTTTGCCATATATGTACCCAGTGGAGTACTACTCAGTCTTTAAAAAGAAAGAAATCTTGTCAGTTTTGACATGGGTGATCCTGGAGCATATAATGTTAAGGGTCTAGTTATGTAGTTCAGGCCGACCTTGAACACACTATGTAACCCAGGCCGGCCTCAAACTTGTGGTGATCCTCCTGCCTCAGCCTCCTGAGTGCTGGGATCACAGGTTTGCACCACCATGCATCCCCAGCCAAGACAGTGTCTTCCCAGCTGGGCATCACAGGCACAAGCAGCTCTGTTTATAGTGTACATGTATTGGGAAATGCTGACGGAAATGTTGCAGAAAACCAATATTAAACCAAATGGAAGACTCTTTGCACCGAGGAGTTAGAAGCCAACTTTTATTACGCAGAGGGCTGGGGACCCAGAGGCTCAAATCCCCAGCCCAGAGTCAGGTCTGACTCCAGTTTAAATATGGTTTGCAAGCAGGAGGTACAAAGCTGTAGCAGGTTATTACCTGACTTGTTACATGGAGTACAAGAATCACGTCCTACATTGTCAGGCAGCTTTACTGAAAAGGAATTCTTTAGCGTTCTGGGAAGCAGGGGAGGGGTGTGTGTGGAGCAAGGGGAGTTAAATGGGTCCTTGACTGGGCCAGTCCGTCCCAGACATGAAGCCCTTGAAGCAAGTTGGAAACAAATTATGTTTTTCTAATTAAGGAAAACACGAGCTGGACACAGTCACGTTGGCCCGGCACATTATCAAAGAGAAGTAGAGAGTCAGGGCTGATCATGTGACAGGCGGCACGAGCGCAGTCACAGGCTATGAACTGACTCCTAACTTTTGCTATAACATGCCCACGAGCCTGCTACACTACAAGTGCGTCCTTACAGCACCACACAAGCCAATAGCTGCCACGTCACGGATGGCACAGCCTCACCATCCCCCTGCTGAGTGGCTGGAGCCAGGCAAGGCAGACGAGGCTGGCGATGTGCATGATCTGTAGACGGCGTCCACGGGGTAGGAAAAGCAGCAGCAGAGGACACGGCTTTCTGACACCCCACAGTGTGACTTCATGGTTGCTTTAGCGACCCTCCCTCCTGCACCCTCACTGTACTTCTCAACCGCTAAGGTCCCCTTAGCCACATCAGACACACGTGTAATGTAAAGGACCCCTCAGCTCAGGGCGCCTTCCCCAGCATCCCACTGCCCCGGGGCTCTAAGGCACTGAGCAGACCCCATCCTGCCTAAGGAACCCCGGTGACCAAAAGTCTCAGGCTGAGGGGGTGGGTTCCCCTGCACCCTCACTTTCTTAGCCGAGGTGACAAGGCTTAAAGTGGCACAGCTCAGCCAGACCTGACTGCCCAGCACTCATGTGGGGTGCAGGTACTTAGAACTCAGCACCTCCTATGCCAGTGGCTGTCACCTCCCATTCTAGTACCCAGTATCAAGGAAAAGCCCAGCCTTGGTCCAGGCAGAACCTTCTCCCACCAGCCGCGCTCTCTCCTCAGACCCGGTCATATCTGTCTAGAGTCCAGCCCCAGGCCATGCCCCAGCCCAGAGCCACTGGGATTTCTCCTGCCAGCCTCTCAGCTGGTCCCACCCCCTGCCCGAGACCCCTACACGGGCCCAGCCTCACCTTCCTGGGCTCCTGCCTCCTGGCCGCCCCGACTGTTCCCTGCAGCCGCAGGTGACATGGCCTGTCCCTCTTCCTTTGGTAACGTGGCCCTGTACGGTCACACTGCACGGTGGAGGCTCCTAGAAGTGACACATCTGTAGGTGGCTGTGGAGGCCTCCCTCCTCCCCTTCCATCCACACTGCCCTCCCAAGGGCTGCAGCGGACCCAGGGGCCCAGGGCGCCCGGCTGGGTCCCTTCCTGAGGCTCAGCAGAGTGGGTGAGGGGAGGGTGAGGCCAGCCAGAACCCTGCAGGACTGTGACCCGATAGCATCACCGAGAGCTGGACACCGAGGAGCTCGGAGACCCTGAACGCTGAACTCAGAGCTCCGGGCTGGGCCTGCACGGGAGAAGCCTCACTTTCCTGAATCCAGGGGAGAGGAGCACAGGTCGCGTGGGGAAGGATGGGGAAGGGCATTGGGAGACAGCTGGCCAGGGTGGCTGGCGGGAAGAAGGGTCTCCAGCGTGGCCCATGAAGAGCAGGGCAGCTCAGACTGCCAAGACCCACAGACACCCCGGAGCTAAGGGGACAGCAGAAATTAGCAGAAAAGCAGAAAGAAAAGAGACTTTGGGGTTTTGTCCACTGATGAAATGAAGATATCTTCTCACCATCAAGTGAGGTTTTGAGTGTCTATTTACGGGGCGCTCCCCCAGTTGCTGCCCTCACAGTGTGACCGAGAGCCTAACAACCTCACAGGCAAAGTCTTCCGAGCACACGGGGCTCCCCCAGCTGCTGTCGACCAGAGGGGGCTCCAGCAGCTCTGCTGCCATCGCGGCTGGGGCTCTCCTCTCCTTTTGCTGACCCTAGGGTTCTCCCAGCCCAGCATGTCCAGGTAATGGTTTGGGCCTGCATCTGCCGACCAGACTTGGGAAAAGCTCTCTAGGACCTGAAGCCATGGTCTTCAGCAACATTGGGAGTCAGCCTGGGTCTCCAGCTGGGAAGGACAGGGCCCTGGCCGCCGCCTCGAGTGCCTTGCCCACAGCCCAGGGCACCGAGGACACTCAGCCCCTCATGACACCGCACGGCCCTTCCTTCGCTAGAAGCCCCAGAACGCTGGGGTGCCTCTCTCTGCCCCCAGCGGCCTGAGGCTCTCATGCCAGTCTCCTGCCCTCACACCTAGGCGTGCAGCAGAGCAGAGCCCAGTGCCCTGGGTTCTCTGGTCCCGCCCCCGCCAGCCAGAGACCGGCAGTCAGGCAGTCACACACTTGCAGCTGTTCCCAGGCAAGGGCAGGGGGCCGAGGGTGGGCGTCTCTAACGGCAGCCACCACCCCCTCTGATCGGTCGCTGAGCCACCTGGCCCTAGGGATGGCGAGCCCCTGGCAAGCTGGGGGCCTGAGGGGAGCCACACTGTTCAGGCTCCTCGCCAAGACCACCCCCGGCATGTGGTGAGCACAAAGTGCAGCTGCACACACACCAGGGTCACACCCGTGACATCCCAGCCACTACCACGCATCTCGCTGCAGCACGGGACGAGGCGTGACGGCCCAGAACGGGGCTTTACAGGGAACCGTGGGGTCGGGGTCGACGGGGTCCTGAGGGAGGTGGCGATCTTCTTTAGGGGGCCAAGTGGACACAGCCAAGTCTTGGTGGCCGCCGCGAACAGAGGCAGCACAGGCTCCACTAGGACAGGCCAGACACAGCCACTCACCCAGCGGCCTTTCGCCGGCAGGGCAGCGGCACAGTCACTCACCGGCATCGAGAGCAGGTCTGATGGGACTGGCCACGGGTGGCTGCGGTCCTCCCTCCGTCAGAGACCGCTCCTCCTGGCTCACAGGTGCGGGGTCTGAGCCCAGGTAGCCGCCCTGCTGTGGCCCACTAGGGGACTTGGATTCGAAGCGACCATGCCTCACTCCCTCCCGCCTCACCCCAGAGCTGCAGGGCTTCCTCCCGGTTCAGGAGCCTGCTGGAGTCTCCCTGGCCCTGCTGCGTCTTCTGTCATGGTTCAGATCTAAATGCCCCACAGCCTCCTGTGTGGAAGACGGCTGCATCACGGGGCGCTGCTCTCCTCCACGATCATCATGGGTGACTCCAGAGCGGCCTGTGCGCTAGGAGGTGGGGCCTGGCCAGGGGTGGTCACTGGCTTGAACTGGAAGGGCTTGTTCCTGGCCCTGTCCCCGGCTCCTCCCTTCTCTCTCTGCCTCCCTGCGTTGAGCAGCTCTCCTCCATCAGCCCATGCAGTTTCTGCCTTGGAGCAGCCAACCATGGACTAAACCCTCTAAAGCCCTTGAGCCAAAATAACCTCTCCGCCTTTAAGCTGTGGGTGTGGGGTACCGGATCCCCATGACAGCAAAGTGACTAAGACAGACTGTTATCGCACACATTATCTCGTGTGGAAGCCAGGGTGAGCGTGTTACACGACACCCATCCCTGCACCTGAGGGTCAGGGGTTGATGGCTCAAGAAGATGCCCCAGGGCAACACGCAGTGCTGTCACTGGCTTGAAACACCCTTCTGAGAACTGCTGTGTAAAACGCAGCCTCAGCAGCATGCACCTTAAGCTGTGTGACTGATGGCTGGAAGCGTGGGGTGACAGTCCCTAAACCAGGGTCTGCTGGGCACATCTGTGTGAGCCTGTCGGAAAGTACACACGGAGGACTGTCCAAGGCCCCTGGGAGGCCACACAGCCCCAGACCAGGGACAGAGCGTGTTGGGCCTCATGCACTCGGCCCTTGCATAGTGCGGGACCCAACCCCATGTGACCACCCAGGGACGACCCCACGGACCCGTCACACCTGCTTCCTAGGCACAGCACCCGGCCTCCTGTGAGTCCTACTCAACCCAGGAACTGGCTGCGGTGGAGGCCACCTTCCCCACGACAGGGAAGCATCGACTCACACCGAACTGCTTTCCAAAGTTTATTAAAAATCAAAGAATAGAAAAACTTTACATAAAAATATGTCAATTTTAGCTTCCACATCGTTGTCTGCGCACCAAAAAATCTAAACATGGCGTATCCTTGTTAAACCTGTGGTGCAGGACCGCCGTGGCGGCCAGGCCGCTTCATCCGTGTGCCACAGCGGGGACGACCAGCGCCTGCAGCCGGATGCCAAGCTCGCGTCTGCCGGCCGCTGCCGTCCCCACAGCGCTTCCCTTGGTGTAGGTTTACAGTCAGTATTGCTAACATGTAGAGATTAGTACGTGCCTACGGATCGGTGTTTATAAATACTCTTCATCAACAGGTTCATAATTTAAATATTTTTAAATATTTTGGGTGATTCCGATCGCCACGGACTGCAGACACCCGTGCCACAATGCCCAGGACTCCCCTTGCCCGCACGCAGTCCACCGTGCTGGCCACAGGCCCGGCCTGCTTCGCAGGGCAGCTGGTAGGCGTCCTCGCCGTGTCCACGCCAGCAGACATCGGCCTGGGACTCCACAGCCACGGGACTCCGGGCCTCACATCGGAAGGCAGAGCCTCGGGCTTCCAGGCTGGACAGCTCCACGTGGGCTTCCGGGACGAGCCTCCAGGAGTGTGCGGCAGGCCCGCAGCCCTCACAAAGCGGGGAGTCGGGCCTCCACGATGCAGCCAACTCTGCGCAGACGCAGCATCCTGCAAACTCGGGGCTGGCAGGGTGGATATATTCTTGTTCAAAAAAAAGGTAACAGAGACAGCGGTCGTGGTGGCAGAGCACACTCGCGCAGCGCACCCGTGTGCTCCGGTGCCGGCGGTGCCCTTGGACACGCAGACACACTCCCACCGTGCTGTGCCGTGCGGTGCGTGGCAGCGCGAGTGCGTCTCAGGATCCGCTCTTACAGAACGAATGCATACTGCTATGCAGATTCCTCCACGGAATCAACAGACTTCCTTTCTCCACATTCCCAAAACTGGGTGCCCTTGTCTGTAATGAACCCCAGCCATCATCACAGGCCAAGCCGCTGAGGCTGACTGAGGCCTTTCCAGGGTCACACTGCTCTCAAGGTTTTCTAATGTGACCACCTCTTCCCCCTAGAAAGTTGTACTTCTGGCACTTTAAATGCTGGATTTGTTGTCTAGTTTAAAAGAACCAAAACCAAAAGATTAGAACTCATGGTCAGAGCAGGCCCATGACTGCAGCCCAGGGCAGGGCCCCAGACCTGACGAACCCCGCCCAGAACTCACTGGGAACAAGGCCCCTCCACTGGCCTCTGACCAAAAGAAAAGACAGCAAATGAAACCCCAAACCCCTATGTCACGGTGTTCATAATGATGCTTATCAGACAACTAGCCAACACGGTGAACCCAACTTAGAAAATGCAACTTGGGAAAGGATCTAAGCTTGTTTAAAAAAAATTCCCTCCTCCCTTAAATATAACTTATGTGAAAATATGAAATTAAATAAAAAATATCGGATTATTGCACAAATCATAAGTTTCGATATTTACATAGAAAAAGAGTTCTGAAGTCTCAAACAAAATGCAAGGGCAGTAACACGACGGCCTCCGTCCGACACGACCCGCCGGGAAGTGTGTGGGAACTGCCTCGATTCCTCCGTCGCTCGACACCGGGAAATGAGAACTCCCACCAGCGAGGGGCAGGCAGGGCTGCCACAAACCAGCAGCGGGGCTCCTGTCATCAGGCTCCCGGGAGCGCAGACTCTGGGAGGCAGAACTCGTCCACAGCTGTAAGGCTTCACAGATGAGCACAGGAGCTGTTGCTGAAGATGCACGCGACCACCACACGAAGGAACATGCAGGGTGATCAGCGGGCGCGGAGGCCACGGCGGAGGTGCTGGGTGCTGGTCTCGGGCCCTGCAGGGCCAAGGCCCGGAGCCATTATCTGCTGAGACTCACAGGCAGGCTGTCCCTGGTGTGCGTGTGCTTTTTCCTGCGCCAGCCGGTGCGGTTGTACTGGTGGTGGCCCCGGTTGCCCACAGGGGGCCGCACACCTCCACCGCCCACCGAGCCGTAGCCGCCGCCCTGAGTGTGGCCGTGGGACCCTTTCATGGACAGCTTCATGCCGTTGTGCTGCTGCGGAGACAGAGAGAGAGTGACGCTGGGTGCAGCAGCGGACTCCGCCCACGCCGCCCCCAGGAGCAGGGCCACTGAGCAAGATTCCTGGCCAAGGGCTCCGGAGCCTCGAGCTGCACTCATCCACAGAGGTGCTGGAGCGCAAGAGTGCGGACATTGCCACAGCCTCGTCCACGCGGCCACGGGGCAGAAGCCGTACACTCCGCCTCCGAACAGACAGCCGCGCGTCCTTGGGGACCCTCGGGCCAGGGTGGGCCACCGCAAGCTCCACTGATCCCCAGACTCGGGTCCAGCCTGCTCTCCTGGTCTGCAGGGTAAGAGCCCCTGTCCCCCCTCCTGGACATGACCTGCACACAGGAGGGGGTGCAGCGCGCCCTTGCTGCCGCGCCTTCCCCCCACACGTGGTCACCTGCACTGGCAGGCAGAGCAAGGGGAACCTGCCTGCTGCCGGAGCAGAGCAAGAGGAAAGCCGGGGCGGAGCGACAAAGGTCGCCTTCCTCGTGCAAAACTGCCACTCCACCCCGGAAGGCAGCTCCTGGAAGGGATGTGCCACTACTCCGCCTCCAACGGGTCTGAGAAGCGGGGATTCCTGACACAGGCCCAAGAGTTGACTGTGGAGACAAACACACTGCGAGAAGGACTCCACTGCCAGGGTACAGCGGCACAGGGCCCGAGCCAGGGAGCCCGGGGGCGGGGACACACACAGGCGTGTCACAAGTGTGCCACTCAACAGCAAGCTGTTTGCACATGCACATTCCTACTGCACCAGGCAAGGCACGGACCAGCCAGGGCCAAAGGAGGCAGTGCAGCCCTCCTGAGACTTGGGGGGAGTCACCCCCAGGCAGGGCCCAGCGCAGGGAGCAGTAGCTGGTAGACACAGCACTTCACCTGGAGGTACAGCAAGACTGACTCATGGTCTACCTCCTACTTCTTGAAAACTACATGACTTGGCAGAAAACTATTCAGCATGAAATGATTTTAAAAAGGAAACAAAATGATCTTCATCTTGGCCTTTACCTGTGTCAGATTTCATTTTTATGCTCACCAGTTCAACAGGCGCTGACAGGAGCTGGTGGCGAGTGAGGACACTCTTCCTTCTTGAACGACTTTAACACCGCTCAAGAAGCGACACTCTGCCTTGCCAGGCGCCCGGGGCGGAAACGTGCGCGTGTACGCAGCGGGGAGGGCGCCCCACCGTGCGGCTGAGGAGGGCGGTACGCACCTTGTGGTACAAGTGCGGGCTGGACAGCGGGTTGGGGGACGCCGAGGGGATGGCTGGGGGGGACATGTGGTGCACGGCCTTCAAGGACGCGGTTCCTTCCACACCAGCTTGTCTGCAAGGGACAGGGGCAACCCCAAGGGTCGGAGGAGGGATGGTGAACCTGGTCTAGGAGCAAAGAGAGACAAGCACAGCACAGCACGTGAGTCAGGTACACGGGCAGCAGCTGGGGCTGCTCTGAGCACAGACCTACTCCGCACCAACCCGACGGCACTGCCTTGAGCTGGAAACAGCTTATATTCTACATCGCCCAGACGCCTAGTCAGGGGGAGTTTAAAGCTGACTGGAACCAACCAGGGTCTCAGGCAATCCGTCAACAGCAAGCTGCCACTAGGGTCCCTGGGAAGAACTTCAGGGGAATCCCCAACTCTGCCCCAGCCCTGCAACAAGGGTAAAGCACAGGGCCCTCCCCTCGCGTGCTCTGCAGGGCTGCTCTCTCCGCATCTCCACCCCTACCTCCTTGCTGTCTTTGGGTGGGGAGCTCCCCAGGGGACAGAGACAAGCAGCTGCAGCGGGACAGAGCACGCCGCAACCCCTGCTCTCCCCACTGGTCAGGACCTGCCCCACACCACAGCCACTGCTCAGCAGGGACACGGCCAGGACAGCAGTGCCCCCCAGCCTTGGCTGGCGCTGTCTACCCACTAACAGGCTCTGACTTCACCCCATTGGATGTGGAAGGCAGGCCACAGGGGGCCGGCTGCTCCGAGCTGTCCGGCGCGGGAACACATCCCTCAGCGGGGCTTTATTTCATGCGCACGGCCAGCGCTGTTAGAGGTGCTCTCGGCCTTGTCTGAGCCCCTCAGTGACCTTCACACTGCAGCCTTGCTCAGCTGCACACGATGGACTCAGAACGTACGCGGCCACCTGAGCACACAGTCTCCCGCCACGCGCAGCCTGGCCCCTGCACCCTGGACTGACGGCAGCAGCACGGAGAAGGCTGTGCTGGGCCCTCCGCAGCCGCACCTGCAGGGCCCAAATAAACAGCTCCACGAAAGAGCTTCACGCTACAGGTCGGGGTGGATAATGGCAACCAAGGTGACAGAGCAACCCCTGCTGCACCCCAGCGCCCCAGAAACTCATCTGCATGCCTCTAGGTCAACTTAAACTCAAAACAGAGCCCACATCTCGAAAATTAAGTTTTACTTGCCTTTCACATGAAAGACCATGCTGGATTTATACATATACAACTGGTGTATAATGGGGACGTAGATACAAAACTTAGGAGTTGCAAAATTCTCGCTTACACTTCTAATTTTACCTAAATTTCAAAACCAGCGTGCTCTCACAAAGTCCCTACACCGTGCCTAGTTGAAGACGCGGAAAAGGCCGGGAAGCTGTCCGGAGCGGGACAGGCTAGGGCCACGTCAGAACCTCTCTCTGAGATGACTGGGGCGCGGTCTCAGGCTGCCCAGAGCTGCTGCAGAGACAGCTGAGTGGCGCCTGCCAAAAGCCACTCCTGGCCTTAAGAAGCAAGAGTCACCTCGATGCTAATGCCAGACACTGTGACCTCATGTCAGCAGTGTCACAGACCGTGTTTTTAGAGTGACAGGAATTATACTACTCATAAAAAAAAGAGAATTTCTCTAAAGAACAGAAATGTAAACCCACTGAAGATTTAAAAAGCTACTTTTCTAAATCAAAAGCAGCTGCAATCCCTTCCAGCACGCTTCACCGCTCGGAGGCTGTGCCCTGTGGGCACACGTACGTACCTGATTGTTGGTCGTCATGATCAGTGTGCGGGAAGGCGTGGACTGAGGCTTGCCACCGGGCAGGGGCAGGGCGGCGGGTAGGCTGGCCACGAGAGCCGTGGGCGCCTGCAGGCTGAACTGGTAGACGCTGGGCGTGGTGCAGGGAGGTGTGTCAGAGTCCTGCAACCCACACAAAGATGAGAGCTCAACACGGGGGCCGCGGCCAGCAGCCACGAGAAGCCCGCACAGAGCCTGCCCTCTGAGCAGCAGAGGCCACACTCACCCCTCTGCCCAGAACTCAGCACTGTGAAGACAACGGCAAAGGAAATACCGAAGTCACCTCCACTCAACAGTTTAAAAACTATTCCAGACAGTGCTCCACCTCAAGTGCGAGGGGAGCGGCCCCACTGCGGGGACCGCTGGCTCCACGGTCGTGCGGAGTGGGCAGCTCAAGCCCCCCCAGGAGCACAAGCCCGACAGTCGCGCGGAGGAGGGGTGGAGCCGGGGCACTCACAATGTCACTTCCAGACAGCGAAGACACCGAAGAGGCAGAGGAGCCAGAGGAGAGGAGCTGGGGACTGGACAGGGACAGGGTCAGGCGCTGGCTGTAGGGCGACTCGGGCTCCCGGCCCTGCGTCTGCTCTCCGTTGCACGTGGAGACCCGCTCTTTTATCTTAATCCTATTGTCTGATGAAAAGCAAAGCCTAGGTTAATAGCACCAAGTGCGGAAGTGTCGGCTGCAGCCACTGCCTCACGGCACGGCTAAGCCTTGCAGTGCTGCTGGCAGGCCCAACTTCCAATTTCGATTTCTCTAATTTTAAAAGCCATGTTCAATTCAAATACACCTGCAACGCCACAGGTATGCAAGTCACCTCCCACTACAGCTTCCATGAAACCTAAATATAGATCAGCTTACTTCTGATGAACACTGAGCACCCCAGTTAGAATGGGCTGTAAATATAAACACACGCTGGATTTCCAAGACACAGCACAAAAACAGGGCATCAAATTTCCCAATAAAAATTACGTGTTGAAATGTTAATACTTTCACTGAGTTAGATAAAATATATTAAAGCAAATCTCACCTGTTGCTTTTCATATCCCTAATGCGCCCCCCCCCCCCCACACACACACACACACACACACACACGACCTCCAAGGGCAAGGAGGCACCCTGGGCATTCACGGCAAGCAGTGCGGGAGGGAGGAGGGGCCTCACCCAGATCCGGCAGCGGGTGCACTCTGCTGCCCCACTTCTCTTTGATCCACCTCCGGTAGTCGATCACTTCCTGAGTCACCTTGATGATTCTTCCTAACGTGCTGCAAGGGCAACACCAGACGTTAAGGGCGGGACAGGACTGGGGAGCACAGGCTCTGCTGGAGAACCCGCCACACCTTATGGCAGTACCAAGCCAGACGGGGAAATGAGCTCATGCAGCTTCACGAAGTATTTACGTCTTCCAACTCTGAGCTCAAATGCAGTCTGAGACCATGGATAGGAAAGGTGGGTTCAACCACACAGAAGGCCGTCTACACAGGGCTGCTTAAGCCCAGTTCAGAGGTGGGGCAGCCAGCCTCCCACTCACAGGCACCACGTCTTTTTTTTATTTTTTTTTAGTTTTTTATTTTTTTGGTTTTTGGTTTTTCTCCGGTACCAGGGACCGAACTCACGACCTTGCGCTTGCCAGGCAGGCGCTTTGCTGCTGAGCTAAATCCCCAGCCCCTAGGCACCACGTCTTGACACAGCCTTTCCTATCACTCAGCTGAGAAGGGGGTTGGCACCAGTGCCTGCCTGAAGGCGGCCTGTGGGACAGCGGATCCCAAAGCTTTCAAAGCCAGGTGCTCCCCCAAAACTCATGCCCTAAAAAATGTCAATGCCCCAAGGAAAACATGACTTCCATATCAACACCTGCCAGTTCTGCTGAAGCACGGCAGTGCACCCGCAGCACCTGCACGGCAGTGCATGGATGGGACCAGAAGATGTGGCTGCCGCCGCAAGGAGCTGGGATCCCAGGCGAGGATGCGGGCCCTCGGTTACCTTTCCGAGTCCCGGTTGGGGTAGGACCTGGCGAGGGGGGACACAGCGTGGCTGAGAACGATGTAGGCGTAGTCGAACACCTGCTTCACTTGCATGGCGCCGTAGGAGCTCCGGCCAACGTCATTTCCTGCAAGAAAGGCAGCTGTCAGACGCGGCGCAGACGTGAGCCATTATCCAGATGTTTCCGACCCTGTCACTCAAGTGACTGTGCACCAGTCCCCCACCCTGAAAGCCCAGACCCCAGCGAAGCGCATCAGACAACACGACAGCACCTGCGGGCACTGGCGTGTACAGACCACCAGGGCCGCCCTGCCCCAGTCACTGCCTCAGGCTGGACCCACAGCCACTGCCGGGGAGGAGCCCTGTGTGCCCATCAGCACAAGGGACCCTGCCGGAGGGAGGTCTGGTCCTGGAGAGCTGCACGAGCAGCAAGCCCAAGAAAGCGCTCCAAAGCCACCAGGCGAAGCAGTCGGTCGATTTTCATAAGAAGGCCAAGCACCAAACCATATGTGTATAAAGCGTCCCTCACAATTCAAGTTAGGTGTGGATTGTATGGAGGCGCATCCTAAGAGTTGGAATTTCATCTCCACTAGATTTCAGTATAACCCAGTGATCACACAGACCCTTGTTTCGCAAGAACGTGTAAGCACACACTTGAAGACAATGACTTCCCAGCTTAATAGGCCCAACACAGACGCAGGGTGGGTGACACCTGCGGTACCATGCCACCAGGAAAACCATGGCACAAAACACGCCATTTAAGAGTCATGACAAAACCGTCAGGGGATCTGCTGTCAAAAAATTTTAGGAAATACATCTCATACTACCACACAACAAAGTAGTTAAATTTGCAGATAATACAAAAAATACATAGAAGCGGAAAAATAAAAATATCAAACACGAATTAAAAAGAAATTAGGAGAAGAAAATATGGTATGTGGAACAAGAAAGGTGTCCTTAACACACACTCCCCCAGAGGACAGGGCACAGACCAGCAGGGCATGGGGCACACAAGGACAAAGGGGCAGAGTGCCTGCAGCTGGTCTCCACCACCTCTCTGCCCCTCTGCCACTGATTCTGTCACCAACAGCGTCTCACCTAATGCTCAATACGTGTTGGAACAGAGAAATAAGAATGTGTCAAGCCCCACTATCATTAAAGAAATATAAATTAAACAGACATCTGCACAACGCAGTTTCATGGTGGCAAGGATCACAAGACTGCCGCCGCAGGCGCCCTCAATGCACGCGCCCAGACCTGGAGCCCAGCCCACGCCCACGGCAGACAGTCCTGGAGACGCCACGCGGTCCCAGCCCGAGCAGCAGGCCTGTGCTGAGGTGTGCGGTGTCCCTGGCGAGATGACAGCGACGCCATCGACATCCACACTGCTGGGACCGGGAGACGCGGCACAGCCACACGGGGCAGGATGCGCAGGCTCTGCTTTCCAGGCTGCGCGCTCCCGGGCAGCGTGTGGCTCACAGCCAGGACATCCACTCTGTGACATGAAGCCACAGCCCTTCCCCTCTGATTTCTGGCTGATTAAGTAAGCTCCGCGGAGAACTGAACAGGGAGCTCAGCGAGTGTCCCCGGGGCAGAGGCTCTGCCCCGGGCACCCGGCCCGACGTGGCCTCCCTGCAGGCCCAGCGCCTGCCTGCTGGCTCGCAGCCGTGCGGGCGGAGCCGCGCCCTTACCAGGCAGCAGCGGATCCTCGATGCACAGCATGGACGGTCTGTACCCGCTGGTCATGGCTTTCATGATCTCTTCCTTGGCGATATAGGCACCTCCTTCTTTTATTCTAATACCAGTCTTCAAGTAATTAAAATTTCTTCCATACAGTTCAAAAAATTCTACGAGAAGCATTCCAAGGTTTTCATCAGCTCTCCGGGCATCAATTCTCGGATGCAACTGTAAAAGCAATGCAGGCACAGTTGGCACAGATCCGAGTCCTGTCCTGGGGGGACACAGGATGGCGCTGGTCGCCCTTTCAGGGACCACTAAGCAGCAGGCCCGAGGGAGCTCGGCCGGCAGTGTGCAGGCCGGACTGCCACTGTCATAGGATGCGCCAAAGAAACAAACGTGTGAATGTTTTCGTGAAGTCTTGACCCTGGCAATCTATACAGCGGCCCTACACACAGACGTCTGACTAGCCACAGGTTGCCCGACATTCTACGTTAAGTAAGTTGACCACACTCTGCACTCTAGTCACCTGGATGGTAGACGCCATCTTACACCGCAGTCACTCTAAAATGTAACCAATAGGTGGCAGTATCAGATTGACTAGCTCCGCATACCCGGTGCCTAAGAGCAAATGCACATCCTGCTGTCACAGAGCAGCCCAGCCCTGCTGCAGCGCCACGCTTTAGCACCACGCTTTCTTCATGCCTCGTGGGACTCACTGAACCTAAGCCCCAGACCACTAAGTTAACACGCACCATCCGCAGCCGCGCAGACCTGCGCTGTCCATAGACAGCTTTGCTCTTTAACTGGATTACACCAGCCGGTTAACACAGCTTGCCAGCTACACTCAGTATGTCCAGCACCCAGGACCCACCCCGTGGCCTGTGGCCTGTGGCAGACACAAAACCTGCCAGCGCAGAACGGGGTCCACTGCACAGAGCAAGCCCTGCCGCTGTGGTCAGTCCTGACACCACGGCCGGGGACAGACACACAGCTCCATGGGGAGGTGCCTTCCGAGTCACCAGCATTCTCGGGGCTGAGAGAAGCTTCGCTTCTGTGGACTCCCTTATGTAATCCGCATGGGCGTGGAGCCTTCTTACATTCACCTCACCCGGACCCCCCCATTCCTTGCCTTTTAGTCCAGGCAAAACCCTGGAGAGCCAGCCCTCATGGGGTCTGGGCCCCTCCCCTCCTGAGCCGTAGCAAGAGTGCGCACGTTACATGGGCCAGGTCAGGCACAGGGCAGGGGACGGCCTTCGTGGGGCCCGGATGGCTGCACAGACCCCACAAGAAGTACGACACGAGGCCCTGAAATTTTTTCAGTATAAATCACGGATAAGAGCCCATGACCCTGAAAAAAAACCCAGTTTATTGTCCCTAAAGAAATGAATACTTTCTCAGTGTAAAGATTCCTTGAGCTCACACAGCTATCAATTGATTGCAGAGCCCAGGGAGCACCTTGTAGCCAGGCGGTACAGTCAGTGACAGGGACGAGCTACACAGAGCGACAGGAAAGGAGTGTGGACCCGCAGGCTCTACAACACAACCCAGACATCAGGCCCTAGGGAGAGCAGCGCTAGGGAGCGACAGCAAGGCTCCTGCACCCCGGAAGCAGCTGGGCGGAAATCGCGAAGAGGCTTCCCTTCCCCCCTCTTCCTACGAACAGCCCCGAGATGGCGAGCATACCTGTAGAAAGCTGATGGCCATTAAAATGAGGCTGTATGAGCTAATCCCACCAGTAAAAACCTCATTCAGGTCCCTCTGCAGGAGGAATTGTTTCAATACTAAAATCAAGTAAGGCAGCAGTGAGTATTTCTGTAAATCCCAAAAGAAAAAGACACGCTGATTAGTTAACACACTCAAAGCCACTTCAGGCAGCACCCGGGGGCTGGGCAGCTTCATCTGTCCTTCTGCCTACTGCAGGGCTCTGGGTCACTCAGTGTCAACCTCTGAGGGGCCAAAGGACACACTTCCCGAGGCGCTGGTGGAAGTCCGCCCACGCAGTGGGCTGAGGTGGAGGCCTGTCACGCAGGCGGTTCCGTCTGGCAGAGGGCGGGGTGGCGGGGCCTGGCAGGCTCCTTGTGGAGGCCGGGGTGTGCTGGGGACGGAAACGCCTGCCCGGGCCTTGGACATGGGGAGAGATGGCCCAGCCCCCAGGGGGGTGGCCCAGAGGGAGGAGCCCAAGCATATCAGTTCAGGCGCCAGGTGCGCCAAGGCACCCACAGGCCCCACGATCTCCAAGGGACCAATCTGAATTACACGGCGATAACTCAATCTCCCGGGGAGAGAGGACCGCCAGGTGGAGCACATGGAGCCGGGAGCAGACCCTGCGAAATGCCTACAAAGAGCTTCACAGCGCTCCACAGCAAGCCTGGCCTCAGCAAAAGGCTACTCAAGAAACACAGCCTGGAGCACCAGCAAAGTGCTTCCGAGTGTCCACAGAAGGGGATACACGTGCCAGTGGGGCCTACGTCGTTAACGACTCCCACACTGAGGCCAGGTTTCCTGCGTTCCTTCAAAGCCACCAGGACTAGAGCTCAAGGCCCTGTCTGCGCGATGCGAGCACGTCAACACCAGTACCTTCATGAAGTTCTTGATGAACTCGGCTGCCCGGACACCAGTCTCCATGTTAAAGCTGATGTCAACTTTAACTTCAGTCTCCTGATCTGTGAGCTTTATTATCGGTACCTGTAAAGATTTAATTTAAAAAACTGTGCTTCAATATGCAATGACCTTCATAGTCGGGCATCAGAACATCTCAAGTTGGTTGTACAGAGCTTTTGGAAGAGCTCAGAAAGCACGGACCCCAGATTACAGAGAAGAGGACTTTTCAAGGAATTAACGTAAAAGGTGCAGCACTGGCCAGCGGTGCGCATGCTCCACCCACCTGCAAGCTGCTCTGCTGGACGGAAGGAACGGGCATCCTCAGGAAGAGGCCCAGGCAGCAAAGCCAGGCAGCATGCACACCCATGGAGAAGCCGCCCCATGTGTGCCAGGTGACAGTCCCCCAGCTTCTACTTGGTAGAGTGTTATTAAAAAGCTAACGCACACACTCAGATTCTGGAAAAGGGCAGTGACACGGCAGGACCCGGTTTGGGGTGGTGTTCTCACAGACTGCACCTTGACTGGAGTCCTCACCCAGTGGGTGAGCCGTCACTGTGGGAGGGCCCAGCAGAGAGGAGAACGCACGCGGACGCTGGAGGAAAGAGGACTCCACGCCACAGCAGTGGGGCCGCTGGGACCAAGAGCTGCTGCAGCAACCCCGCAGGGGGCTGCGTGCTCCAGAGGTCCTGGAACTTGGCAAGTCAGGTCTCTCTCTAGCCCTGTGCACACCCTGGAAGTCTGCCAGCACAGGCGGCGGGGAGGACGCGCACGCTACAGCAGGAGGACCACAGGACTTCCTTCCAAGAACATCCTAGCAAACGGGGAGCTCCTCCTGTCACCCACCAATGTGCCGTGTGCTCGCGCTCGGGCCACACACTCCCGAGTGGGCAGCACTGAGAGCCAGCGGCCCCTCCGAGTCTTTCTCTCCTCACCTCATCATCTCTGCCTCAGTCACCATCCCACAGTGCAGTGTCAAGAACAGTCTGAAAACCTGAAATTCCAGCCCTGCAGACTGTCACCAGTGTGCTGGGAAGCATGAGGGGTAACACGTACGTTTTACAGCAGCAGCAGCAAAAACCACGCAAGCGTAGCCAGTGCCTGCCCCCAGCCAGGGCCACCCGGTCGCTAGGCCGAATCAAGGTGCGGCTGTGCTCAGCAGGCATGAGCCCAATACTCACTGTGGCTTTGTCGAGGACTTTGATGGAGCACGGCTCCGCCACATTGTGCTTCCGCAGGGCTTGCTCCAACAGCTGCAGAGGGGGACGCTCCCATTTTCCAAAGACCACCAGATCTATGTCACTGGGGACAAAGGGCCAGGTCAGGCACTGCTCGTCTCTCCGAGCGGTGACCCGTGCGAGGCACACGGCCTCCATCAGCACCCTGGCCCCATCACCTTAGGGTGGTTCGGCGCACTATGGGCCCCTACAGCAACCAGTGGAAAGATTTTCCCAGCAGCACTGGGGCGAGGGGCAAGGTCTAAAATAAAAATGCTGCCCTGCAAACCAAGCCTTGGCCCCGTTCCTGGCTCACACTCCTGTGCTCCCTGCATCAGCTCACAATCTGTCCAACGCCTGGCTGTGCCCAGCCAACACCGCCAACCGCCACACCCGACCTCACAGCCTCCTCAGCCCCCAAGGCGAAGGGCAGAGGGTCAGTAGAAACACGGGTGAAGGGACTCACGTGAAACACATGTGGCTATCCAGAGTCCTTCATGGGAAAACACTAGGACATCACTGTAGACCACAAACTGGGTGTTTCTCTATCACATAAGGATTCTTAAACATGCACTATTTAAACAGAATTTTCTTTAATCTTTGTTAAAACTTTATAAAATCAAATTTTCAAAGCTATCCCAGCATCGGCAGACCCTTCTCCACAACACTGACTCTGCGTGGTCCCGGGAGAGTTTGGAGGGACACATCCAAGACTCACACGGCGGGCAGATGATGCCCGGGCCCTGGGCTGAGAGCTGCAGCCTTCAGGGCTGCTCAGGTCGCAGGGCCTCTGGCCCCTTTTCCACTCTCTCTCTCCCTCCCCCACCACAGCAGCGCACAGCAGAAGGCTGTCACTAGTCCCTGGGTCTCACACTTTACATCGAGACCCTGGGCCAAATAAGCATCTACCGGTCACACTCTACCCGGGCTGCAGTATTTCACTACAGCAGCAGGAAAGGCACTAAGACGATCCTTTCATGTGCCACCTCGTTCTATTCCAGTGTCCGGCATTTCCGTGCCCAACAAAGTGAGTGCATGCGGAAGAACGGAATGCAATCAAAGTATTTCCATAGCACTAAATTAAAACTTACTTTGGGTCGAACTTGCCCTGCACCCCAATCTTTTCCTCCAGCTGGCCTCTGCACCTCGGACCGGATTCCAGTGCTGGGCATGCACACACCCTGCGTCCGCCCCGGTCAGCGGACACCACCTATGCAGGGACCGGGCACTCACCTGGTGGGAAGATAGAGACCTGTGCTGAAGCTGCCGAATATCTGCACCTGGAAGAGAACACGGCTGTCTTAGAGCACAGCCACAGTTCCAGCATGCAGTCCCATGAACCTCACTGCCGGGAGCCTCGCTGTACCCTCGAGTAGCAGGAAAACCACTTGGAAACAGGGCAGAGGACTGGGTGGTGAGGACAGCTGAAAACCATGCAGACAACTAAACACTCCCTTTGTCTCTGAAGACCAGCACCGCAAAGGAGCGTTTAAAACTCAAGAGGCGAAACCGTTCCTGCCTTCACCCCATACTAGTCCAGAGCCCAGTGTTTCTCACAGCCAGTTTCAAACCTTCCAGTCATTTCTCAAACAGCCACTGCGCAGAGCAGGGCTCTGTCCTGGTACTGAGGTTTACAGGGAAGCCCGCAGCCCAGGTAACCAAGGATGGGAACCTGGGTTGCCGCCCGCCCCAGAGAGCGCACTCGCCCCTCAGCGGCGAGGGCTCCCGTCAGCCCAGATCACCGGCATTCGTGCAGGCCAACTCCTTCGTGAGGGGGCGGCGGCTCCTGGCAGAGGGCACCGTTTGTGTTGCCGCAGCACACGTTCCAAATGCCCAGGATCGCTAGCTCAATCGGCACTCAGGGCTCAGGGGTGCGAAGAACCCCTTGCAGTTACCACAGCACGTCCCGTGCTGCTAGGCATGGGAGTGAGGATGGCGGATCTAAAACAAGACTAATCACACCTTAGGCCGAGGCGGCTGGGGCCTGCCAGGGCCTGTCACTCCACAGGGCCGTTGGGGCGGGGCCTGGGGCTGTGCATTGCCGGGAGGTCCAGAGCATGCCTCAGGCGAGAAGAAACCCACCCTGAGCTGATGGGGCTAGGGACGCACAGCAGCACCCAGCTGGGGCAGTGAAGACTCACGTCAGCCGTCGGCCACAGATCTTTCACCACAGTCTCGATCCGCTTCACCACCTCCCTTCGCATGGCTGCTTCCTCAGGACAGGGGGACATGAAGTTATAAAAGTCAATGATCTCCTCGTGAAGGCTGGGGGACAGAAGAGAGGACACGCTAGAGTTACAGCTCGACCAAACACGCTTCCCAGTCTGTGAGGTCCGCGTGCCCCAGAGCATTCCAGGCCGCTTACACTCCAGCTTCTTTCCCTACTGGAAACACGTGGCAGCGGGTGAAGTTACGCGTGGCCTGGCACCAAGAACACATGGAATCGAAAGAACCACTTCCGTGGTTTACGCTGAGAAAATGAAAGCCAAGCATCCACGAGCGAGAAAGACACTTCCAAGGCAGCGCAGGACGGCAGATCAGCGGGGTGAGGCCCCGCCCTGAGGTGCTGGAGCCCTCAGCGACAGCCATGAGAGCTAGAGTAACGGTTTGTGTAAAGGAGGGGATACTTTTTAATAAAGCTGCTAACGTTAAGTTTCAAAAGTAACTGACCGCAATAGGGCACCACCTGCCTCTCCCAGCAGAACCCAACACCAAACACCCTCGCCCACTCTCTGCCTGAAGTACCAGGTTGTCACTGGGCACTAATTTTACAAAACTTAATTTTTTAAAATAAAAATGCTCACCCCAAACATATGCCACTGCAGACAGCCACAAGCTGTGTTTAATGGACCCAGGAAGGGAATAACTTGTGCAACATTAAAACGAAGCAATTTTTCCAAAATACATCGCACCACAGGCTTCTGAAGTGGAGCTTCTATCTCACACTTCCTGCAGGCACCCGCCTGTCCTGCCCGTCAGCTCCGCTGGTCAGGCTGCAGGCACCGGTATTCCTACGCTCCAACATCTCCCATTAGCAGACTGGGAGCATCAGCCAGCAGGCTCCTCCCACAAGCAAGGCTGCTGGTGGTGTCCCACACTCCCGAGTCACCGTCCCTGCGGAGTTCTCCAGGAGACCAGCGTGTGAGCCGTGAGCCTCCTACACCACTATCAGCCCCACCAGCCCTGTGTCCACAGTGCTGCACTGCAGATGCAGGATATAGGGGTTCAGAGCCCCGCTAATAAAGACACAACTGCCCAAAGTCATGGAAGGACGCTGTAGCTGGTATGCTAACAAATTCGATCAACAGCACCACGCGGTCACTCCATTAAAATACCTATAAGCAGAGCGCCGCAACGGGCCAAAACACCACTCCAGGTCTCACTTGCAGTCTACTGCCAACCTCCTCTTCAGGACTGCATATCTGAGACGGTAACGATAAAAGCAGTCTCTCCGCCACCTGCTCGGGCTCTGGGGAGCCTGAGGGGTGACACATCCTGTAGTCCACGCAGACACTGCCGCCCACAGTGTCTGATCAGATGTCTGCTTCCCTGTGTAGGGCTAACAGACACCTCTAACAACAGAACTACAGCCTTCCCATGTGTGGGGACACCAGGGCCTCCCGACTCCAGCACTGCATCCTATCACTACAAGAACACCCACCGCCACTCCTGTCTGAGGTCGGTGATGAGTGGGATGCACACACACAGCTGCCTACTGCAACCCCTGTAACAGAATACCAGGTAACAGAGGCCAGAGCTCTCACAGCAGGCTGGACACGGCCTGCACTGTCAGGCAGTGCTACCTGGGGGAGGGCGCTGGGTAAGAGAGTTTTGGGCAAACCCCAGGGCCTTGCCTTGGGCAAGCAGGCCCACCAAGGTACCACAAAACTCCAGAAGCGACCAAGGACCCAGGTGTAGGACTGACGACCCTGTGGACAGAGCTGAGCATGGGACAGTCTACCAACATCACTGTCAACCCTGGGCAAGGCTGAAGGGCCATGGCTGCCTCCTGCTCTGACTCTGTGGATACTCAAAAGCCAGGTGGCAAGATCGACCCCAGGCCGAGAAGAGAACTGCGGGATAGCAGCCATCCAAGAAAGGCTGCTGGAGGGCACGAGCCCTTCTGCCCCAGGCCTCCAGCATCCTGCAGCCCTCACTGGCTGGTGGTGGGCCTGCGAGCAGAAAGGCACCCCAGGGAGGAAAGGACACAGGGCTCACCGCACGAGGACAGCACCCTGGACAGTGCTCGCTCCAGGCAAGGGATCAACCCCTGGCAGAACAAACCAACCAGGCTCTCCCGGCTATCCCATTTACCACCTTGTCACACTGATCTACATCCCCTAAAACACGACAGGATTTCGCCCCATCCTGGCCATCTTGATGTCAGTAGAAACAAAGTACCATTTCACAAGAAACGTAAATAGCACAAAATATTTGGAATTATTTTACCAGTCACCCAAAGCCTTTGCCACCTTCGGGAACTGCACATAAGGTCATGGCAGCATCCAGTCACCCAGGTCTCAGTGCAGAAAGGTTCTGGGATCCCGGCTAACCCCAGGCGGGGTACGAGACATCCCAGCACTTGCAGACAGCCTTCCCACATCCTTCCACACACCGGATCATCTCTGCATCACCCAAGATGCTCAGCACAATGCCGTGTGAACAGCTTACACTCCATCAGCGAACAATGGCAAGTAACAGTGCGTATGTCTAAGGACAGACAATTTCTTTTCTGAGCACTTTCTATCTGCGTGTGGCTGACTCTAACATACAGAAGCCACAGACACGGGGCAACTGGCCCACAGTAAGTGGCATCATTAACTACACCTGGTCAGGGGCAGGGGATTTAGCTCAGCGGCACAGGGCCTGCCTGGCAAGAGCAAGGTTGTGAGTTCAATTCCCGGTACCAGGAAAAAACCAAAACAACAACAACAACTACACCCAGCCCCTAGCACCGAGCCGTCAACACCCTTTCCTACATCAGCCTCCAGCACTGAGGACTCAACACCTTTAGTTCTCCAAAGGTTTCCATCGAATCACATCAAGGAACACTTTTAACGATTTGTACTCATCAACAAAAAAGAGGAAGTCAGTTTATGTCTGTCCGTTTACGGCAACTCCAGGGACCTGCACAGCTGAAGAGACACCCAAAGGAAAACCACGCCAAAGTCTTCCGGCCCACAGACAACTCTGCCATCAACCTCTGAGCTCAATTTCAGCTCAGTCTCCAAATCAAGGGCATTTTGATGCTGGATGGCACAGCACTAACCTCCACTGTCCTGGGCCCCACAGAGGGCACCTCAGAGCCAGCAGCAAGTGTTAAGGACACAGGAGGCCTGGGATGCTTCTGCTGCCCTCAAGCCTGCAGCGTGGCTTCTCCCACCATGAGCAGCCGGGCAGGCGGACAGATGAGTGGGGGGGGTTAGATAGCTGACTTCGCAGCACAACAGGGAAGCCTGCCAGAGCCCGTCATGGGCTTTCAGGAAGCCTTCCGTAGAAGCAGCGTCGATGCAGGCCTCGGGGCTGCACCCCCTCCTCTTCACCAAGTCGGGGAGTACTGGCAGGCAGGCGTCTGGCCAGCACCCACTTCCCACTTAGGTCTTGCCATAGAGAGGGCTTGCTGTAGTGAAGAAAAAGGACCCTGCAAACCACAGGATATACGAAGGAGCAAGATCCTGAGAAACCAGCGATGGCCACTGGCCCACACAGACCAGGTGCAGCCATGCTGCTTCCTACCAACCAGTTTTCTGTGTGTCTACGGATGATTTCATTATACTGGACCAAAGGACAGGCAGGCAGTGGCACTGCAACAGTAAGGGAGGCAAAGACAAGGGTCTGGGGCAGTGCCCATAGCCCCAAGGCAGGGGTGGGTCAAGGAAACCATGGAGGTGAGCAGTCGTCTTGCAGGAGCCCACCGCAGGACTGCCTGTTCAGGTGCTTCCGCTAGGTCTCCAGCCCAAGGGGTCCTTATGGTGCAATGTCAGCTTTCATTCACCAGTGCTTATGGAAAACAAACACCAGGGAGACAAGCCGCCCTCCTGGGAACGGGAGTAGGTCACAGACGCTCAGCATCTACACCCGGACCAGCAGGGGACGCACTAAAGAGCACCAGCCCCTCCCCACCGGCCGGGCACCACTCACTCAGCATCCGGGCCCGCTGCCCAACTGCCCGCTTGCCTTGGTTTCCCTGTGATGCTCTGCCCGTGCTGTGAGAAAAGTGACCTTATGAACTGCGCATGGCTCTGGTCCCATCTTCTCTACGACCCCGTAAAATGGAACAGGAAGTCCAGAGACGGCTGTCAACTGTCAATTCCTTCTCCCCACGCTCCTCCAGCTGTTCCCTCAAAAGCTTCGTCAGTGTCTCGAAATCAGAGCCCCTTCACTCCGGCTCCATGTCTGCTGTCTGCATTTTTGCAAGAAAACAACGCTTTGGCAGAAACACTTGGCGCGAACTACTGCATTTTTAGACTCTTACCACGCATTGATGCAACTGCAGTGAAATGAGCGAGTCAGACTACAACAGTGCAGACACGGTAAAGAGGTAAATGCTAACCCAGACCAGGACAGCAAGCTGCTGAGCAAGAGACAGCACCAGCCTCCACTCTTCTGAAGGGTGAACAATCCTCCTGAAAGCACCCGTTAACTGATGGGTTAATGAGCTAATTACAGTTCATTCTTATCTATTTTTAATTATCTTGCAAGGCAACTAATACCTGTACAAATTAGAAAACCTTGAAGCTTGCCTTCAAACATGGATTTTTAAAAAAATCTACGCTCAACACAAGTGGAAGTACATGACCTAGAATTGTAAACGAGCCCTGGCCCGCCCTGGTACTTCTGGCTCTGGGAGCTGCCTCAGCCTCAGACCAGCCCCGCCCCCTGGGCAGGGGCCTCTCGCAGCCCTGGCTTCCCGCACAGGGCCCTGAATGCAGCTGCAGGCCAGGCGTGGTTCTCACAAGTGAATGGAGAGCCCTGAGGCCCCAAGAGAGTCCCCTGCAGGCAGAGGGCTGAAAGCCTAGCTAGGAGAGGAGAGCGCAGCCTGGACAGGCACCGCAGGAACCGGGCTGGTGGACTCCCCGGGGCAGCAAGGCCAGGGCAGCACCCAGCATGCACAGGGCCGCCAGCACAGAGGGCGCTGCACCGTGAACGTGGCACTCTGCTCACCCAGTGCTGCTCCCGCCGCAGTCAGCTCTGTCCTCTCCTTCCCAGGCTGCTCCTGCCAGCAACCCTGGGGACCCTGGAGCAGGTGGCTGTCCAAGGGCCTT